ATGATACACATATAGATCTGCCACTTGCCTTTACCACTATTCTAAATTTATCTGCCTCCTCCCCAAAATCCTATGTTAACCTCAAAATGTGGCATTATTTGGAAACAGGATCATTTTAGGGGCAATCAATTTAACAAAAGATTATTAATAAAGGTCTTAATCTGATATCACTGAAGTGCTTATTAAAGGGTGAAATTTGGACACAGAGATACGTATACAGATATGATAATGTGAACAGACACAGGGTGAAGACATCCATCTATCTACAAGGCATGGAAAGAGGCCTGGAAAACATCCTTCCTTCATAGCCCCAAAAGGAACCAACCCTGCAAACACCTTGCTCTTGGACTGCCAGAATCCAAAACGGCGAGACAGGAAGTCTCTGTTTCTATCACCCAGCTTGTGGTAGTGTGCTATGGCGTTCTAACAAACCAAAATACTTGCTTATTACAATGGATGCAGAAGCTTTCCATGAAAACACATATAGATTTATGTTACTTTTGTAATAACTCTCTAGAATTCTCATTGATTTCTGTGAAATAACAAATTGAACAAATCTTCTCCTGATGAACATATATTCATTTTTCCTTTGTGGCTGTAATTAATAGAACTACAATCAACAACTTTGAACATAAATTCTTGGGCAAATCCATGTCATTTCTTATATGAAAGTCATATGAATGTGGAAATTGAGTCAAAATAAACAGCGCATGAATATATTCTATTTTTTTATCATGTTGCTGACTTACTTCCCAAAATGTTTCAGCAATTAATTTTCTCCAAAATAAATGTATATGGATACCTTATATTTTCACACACCTACTTTAGCAATCTTTTGAATTTTGGTCAAACTTATGAGTACAATCTTTATGTGACCTCAGGTTTGGTCACCTAACTATTTTAGATGCAACACCAAAAGTACCAACCATCTATGAAAAAAGAGATAAGTTGAGTTTCATTAAAATTAACAAATTCTATTCTGCCAAACATATTGCAAAGAGAATGAAAA